CGTCCAGACCGTCAGCAAGGGAAGGAGAGCGGCATCAACCAGCAATGTCATTTTCTTGAACTCGGTCTCCTTCTCGGCCGGCCACTGAGGAGCGTGGACGTGAGCCGGGTGGGGGTCGCCCAGGGCGGGAGTTCGGCGGCCGAGGTCGGCGTTGGTGGGGTCGAAAAAAACAAAAGATGCCATGCAGATAGAAAGCCTGTGGCTTTTTAAAGGTGCGTATTGATTTGTCACATGCATTCACATGCTGATTTCGGCGCCGCGTGTTGAAATCCTTGAAGTGTGAATACCTCCGGAGGATCACAAACATGTCGGTATGCGGTTTGGACAGGTTTTGGACGCTGTGTTTGTATAAATTTCACTGGTTGAGTCTAACGTATATCGGCTAGTGCTTGATTGAGTGACAGGTTGGAAAGACGTCAACAAATCTTCTTGTTTGTACGTTGTGACCTGAGGAAAGAATTGGAGTGGCGCAGGAGTAACTTGACGTCCACAAAATTGGCTGTGAGGGACTCCACCTCACCAAACCATGGCAGGTTGACACCAAAAAAAGGGACTCTGTTCAGCCATGACCGGGGGGGCCGCCCAGATGCCATGAGCCACAGTATTCGACTATCCCAGGTAACCGGTACCTCAGAGGACTCAGTAGGGTGCTAGTTCAGGTCATTTTCCACCTCTCTTAGTACCAACACCCAATTTGCCCAACACCCATGCCAATGATCAACGCCCCAACACCCTGCCAATTTGATCAGTATCCTTCGTCCCGTCCCACCCTGCGATCGATGACCTGCTGCGACCAACTGCTGCGATGGGACCCGCAGCCTAGGCTGGGCCAGGAACGAACGCTTGGCGCAGGTGGGGAACGACCCGGTCCGACCCGGCTCAGCCCAGCTTCTACCGGAGCGGTAGAAGCCTGGGCTAAGAATCCATCGCTATATTGATTTAGGTTCTGTACCGAACCGACTGGGTTCGGTACGACTGGATCCGACGTTTTGGCACCTACATAACAGTGCCGAACACATCACCGTACCTGAGGTTCGGTACGAAAACGGATCCCCAGGGCATGGGACTGGAACATTGACCTACAACCCGTCCACATCTTAAAATCACCCCAACTGATTGGCATCATATTCCAGTCCCATGGATGGTCGACGTATGGACGAAGTACGACGTGGTGGTCGACGTTTGGTTTTCGCTGCTGTGGTCTACTTGACAGATCGTTCATGTCAAGCGCACCGTAGACCTCTGACCTGTTGGAGGGAGCATGTGTGACCTAAGATGAACTGAGCAAACTTCTACCGGGACATCCAAGTGGTGCGACCTCGACCAGAGTCCGAGGCCCCAGAGGCCTTTGAAACACGGAAGATGTTCATCGTTTTGTCCCATGATCCTGCCAGCAGTTTTGTGCACGACATTTTCTTTAGTAACCCTGGGATTTGAACCGCCATTGATTCAATAGCCTTTTCCGAACAACCATTAGCTTTGAGGATATACACAAAACAAAAACCTTTGGGCCCTCAAATGGGAAGGGTTTTGACTGTCCGGTCCCCTGCCATGGAGGGACCAAAGATTCTTAGGAGATTCCAGGAATCCCACTCTCAGGAGCTTCCGGACCAAGTCTGAACAGCGTGGACCCCTGATTCGGTCGTAGACAAGATCTAAGTTTACATGGTTCCAGCGGTTAAGTCGTTGGAACTGCATCTTGGGTATTGTTTCTTTCGTTTTCCCCAACATGTTCCAAACGGTGTTTATCCCTGTGACCCTTCATGAAAATGCCATGATGAGGGATTCCCCAAAAAGAACAAGTTTTAGCAATCGGCAACCCTACATGGATCAGGGTGCAGTCTGATGAAACACTGAACAAGCGCTTCAAGTAGCCTTTCGGCAGGTGTACCCGCCGGGCCACATGGGGCGTCTTTCTTGTGACGCAGACACAACCCATGGGACTGGCATACCAAAGAAGTGGGGTGGTTGAAAAGGGTTCAAACTACCCAGAAGTGAGACAGGAGTTCTGGAACTGGGCAAACATCAGAACTGTCTCAAAAATCGACGTCGTATACCTGCCACGTCTGACCATCTGACGGCCGGCCTCGTCCGGCGCGGTGAACCTGATCGGATCCCCGCAGGGCCGGCTTGCGTGCCTACTGGTCCGGGATGCCCGGCGGGCGGTGGATCTGAAGCATGGAATGCTGGGATGATTTGAGCGGACAGCTGGTAGATGGGTCGGTCAATGGATGAGTGAAGGCGTGGGTCATCAAACCATGTTTCAGATGCGTGAGCGGCGGCGACACCGGGGTTCCTCGTCGAACAAGGGAGACGGTTTGCGTGAGTCCAATTCCAAGTTTTGGAAAGGGGGAAAACATCAATCCAGTCCCTCTGGCCATGACATTGACGGTGGCCCAATGGATCCGTGATCAAACATCAGGAAATAAACTATCTATTCTTGAATCTATTTCCGACAAGTTTTGGTGGAGTCTCGTCGTTTCACACAGCGCGCTGCGCGGACTTTGTATATTCAATAATTGATGTTGAGTTGGATCTTAATTTATTATGTTTCTTCCTTTTGCTGCCGGGTGCCCGGAACGGTGTGCACTCGCAAGAAAAAACACAGTTCAAGCTCAGGTGGTGGCCTTTGTTGTGGTGGAGGGGCTTGAAGGAGGTGAGGTCCGTCGTTGGAAGATGCGGAAAAAACAACAACGCGTAACACACCCAGACGTGGCTGGGGGGGGCTCCTGAATCGCGTGGATTTGTGGGGTTTGCGTGCTTGGGAAGTTGGGGAAGAAGTCATTCTTGAAGACTAACATGGACCCTGAAAGACGCTGGTTGATAGAGGAAAACGATCTTCCATGGGCCCATTGTCAGGGTCCAGTTTCCAGAACATCATGCAGCACTGACACTGAATGAGATGCCACCTTCTGGACATATGGACAAGAAACAGGCGACTAGTTTTTGGCATGTTTTTGGGGAACTGGTGGCAAACATGTTTCCTCAGGTTCAGGGACCATCGTTGATTGGGGTTGGTTGAAACATGTTGACATGATAGCGACTGACCATTTGCCAAACATTTGTAGTCACAGTCCCTGCGAGAGGGGGGTGTTGATCCACCCATCGTTGGCTTGGCTCAGTATGCCAATCTACCTGCAGACCTACTGCAGGACGTTTGTATTATCACTCAAATTCGCTGCGTAAGGAGGTCAGGAACACGCAGAATCAATGCACCGTGTGCACCACCATGTTCGCCTTGGTTGTCATCCTCGATTTCAATGGTGACCAAATATTGGAAGCTGGGTGTGGGTCACACACGTTTCACCTCTGAACCTGGGGTTTCACCTCTGAACCTGGACAGGGATCTTGATGGATCTTGTCAATACTAGGATCTTGTAGGATGTCGTGATGGGTCTTGACTCGACTCGACCCAGGCCGCCCCAGTATACGTGTTCCAGAGTTTTTTTCCATGTACTTCGTTTCTGGTGTCAACAGCTTCCCTGAGCAAAAGTGCCACAGATCGTACCGGTTGGTTCGCCTACCCTTCGCCGCTTGGCCGCTTGGTCGAAGGGTCAAATCCTCAGGAGTTGAGAGTCGAAAGGCCCTCGTGAAATCGAAGAGACAAGAGCTGTTTGGCCGGCAAAACTCAAACTCAACACCTGCTAGCCGATGTTGGACATTTCCTGTCGAGGTGTCCTGTTTGTCCTAGGTGACCATGCAAGGGAGCAGCTGGTATGTTGGACATTCTTGTTGGAAGAAACCCTCACTACCAAGCAACAAGACTCTACAACAAACGGACTTGCCTCCTCCACCTTCGCGAAGCTATATGTCACGGAATATGGGTCACTTGTAGACCTCATCCCATACCACGGCACCATTCCATACCCGTACACTCCATGTATATTAATATGGAATATACATATTATGCATACATTGACCCCGAAACTCATGGATTGTTTGGGATACCATTTCCCCCGAACCCCGAGCACCTTCCTTTTCACGAAGTACAGAGGTCCTTGCAAGTGCCTTGAGCCTCCGAACTCTTCCACGTTACTTGTTGCTCGGCAGAAGCGACCAGCGAATCGCGACCCAACCACACGGGTGACCGGAGATCGGGAGAGGATGGAAGCAGAGGACGGAACAACAGAGTGGCCAAAGCAAGATGGTTGGATCAGATTGAAAGGTTGGGCAAACATGTTCACCTGTGACTTCACAGGTGTGGTTTGTGTGATACATTCTTTCTTTTCCAAGCTATATTTGGTCCTTTGCTTATAATTCTTTAAGTGTGATACATGCCTCTCTGGAGGTCAAATCCCTCCAGACCGTTGCTTCCGACGATGTTCCAACTGTAGCCGAATTCGGAGTGTCCACGCCTTCTATGCCACTCAATTCGTGCACTTCATGTCCACTTCACCACACCCGGCGCCAACCGCGATGTCCGCACTCTCCACGCGGCGGGCGCTCCGCCCTCCGCGGCGCCCAGAACGAGCTCCGCGCTCTTTGCGGTGCACGACGCCGCCTGGATCGAACGGAGCAACGGAGTGTTCCGCGTGGCGCGACAAACATCGGGGGGAGCAAACAAGTGCAGCAAACTGCAGATGCCCACAAAGTGGATGGAGTTTGCAGAGTAATTTTGTGTATCCCTGCTGCAGATGGTTCTTCCATCATGCACCAGTTGTGGGAGCCATTCTTGAGTTTGGATGGGTCATGAACCCAACAGAGTATCGGCTGGGATGGGTTTCGGATGGTTTAGGTGTCGTTCACAGAAGGTGAAGTATATTGGATATTATAGTGTATACCTGCTCCTTAAACATGTATAAGGGGTGGGTATGCGTACGTCCGGTCCAAATACATATTTGTGCTACATGTTGTTTGATCTATTTTTGATATCATGTTGATACACATACACCAGGAGTGGTACCAGGAGTCACAAGATGGGGTGCCGAACGAACGGAGGAAGTCGGAGTGCCCAATGGGTGCCGAACCTCACCACAGCCCCGACCACCCTGAGCTCCATGTGACTCCTGGTAAGGATCACATCGCACAGCTGTCCCTCCAAGCCGTAAAGGATTATTCCAATTAATTACATTCCCTAAAATCCCTAGGGCTCCAGTCGTACCTTCTAAGAAGGTGTTTGGGGTGGGTTTAGAGGATCCAAATACCTTTTGAGGAGGTACTTGGAGCCCTAGAATTTGTGGCAAAGCATGTTATATGCCAATTCTGGGGTCTCTAATTCTCACGCTCTATTCTACTGGCCGTGGTCTGGGGTGTCTAAGATTTGACGCTTCGAAGTGACTCGAGTCCAGTAACCACCCCCAACCGGGGGCCCTCGAAATGATCACTCACCCTTCCCACCAACGAAGACCTTTGGTTTAGTGACCGATTCATGATTCAATACCTCTGGAGGGAGGTGAGAAGAAAGTCTTGGGAAAGGCCCTTGCTATTGGCGCTGTTTTCCATCAAGATGCAATCCACAGTTGGGGAATGTTGGTAAGTAACTAGATGAAGATGCCAGAGTTTGGATACACAAACTCAACATATCTTTCCTTCACCTCCCAAACTCCTGCAAATTGTGCTATGTGCTCTTGTGATCTCTTGTGGCTAGCCCCGCCCACGATAACTGGAAACCATACCCTAGGCTTCCAACATCTTCCGAACACTATTGATTTAATAGCTGTTACAGAACAACCAATTCTTCTTCTCCTGGACCGGTGATTTGATGTTAACCGTTTCTTTGAATCGTCTTGGAAGGGGCGAAGACGTGGCCCGCCAGCCTCCTCGGTGCGCCAAGGCAGTGACCCGCGGTCGCACCCACTGGGCCCGGGGCGGCCCAGAACGAACTCGTCGCAGCGAGCGCAGCGAGCGATGGGCTCTTGGAGGGGGAATCATCCCCGGATTGTATAATTACCCTCTAATTACAGGGCTAGCTGTATCACCCTTAACAAGCTGTATCCGAAGCTATAGCTTTAACAAGCTAGAGGGTAAATACAGGGCTTCGATATTGCTTTCGATGGACCCCCTGAAGTGAGACTTTTCGATTATAGCTATAACTTCTTCAGTTCGTTTTTGTCCCTTTGGGGGGTTTCACCCAACTTCCGTCGGGCTTGAAACACCTGCAGTTTTTGAGGGGATGTGACTGGTCAACAGCCAGGCCCAGGTGAGTCGACTCATGTGGACCGGGTTTGCGTGGAAGGGATCCAGGATTTCTGGGAGCGAACGATTTGTTGGATGCTTCAGAGATGTTTTTAGTTAGTGGCCTTTTTGGTCTGAGGGATTGGATGCTACCTTGGGGGTCTGCTGATTTTTTTGATGAACATTGGGTTCTGCCACTGCCACATACGGATATAATGAGAGAGATAAGATCAGACATTTGTACCATATTTGAGACCGTGTTTTACAGGGTTTATTGCGCATATCGAAGTACGACGCGGCGAAGATGGACAAATGCAAAAACGCTGTGTTTTTCAAGAGTGGTGTCGGTAATGCGCGCCGGGCGGACAGGCATAATCGACATGTTGTGGGTAGAGGCCTTCCAGACGATTTCAATTGCCTAACATATCCTCAACATAGGCCTAAGATAGCCAACATATCCCCAACATATGCCCAACATAGCCTCCAAGATGGCTCAACATAGGGCCAACATAGGCCAACATGGGCCCAACATAGGCCCAACCTAGGCCAACATAGGCCAACATAGGCCTAACGTCGGCCAACATAGGCCCAACATAGGCTCAACATGGGCCCAAGATGTGCCCAACATAGACCACATGGGCCCAACTTGGCCCAACCTAGGGCCAAGAAGCGCACCAGATAGCTTAACTTGTGCCCCAGACCCCGGCCCCCGTCTCCAACGCCAAGCAGTTTCCCACCTTGCCCCCACCCAGGGCCCTGTACGCCCCCGATAGCTGCACGTGCACCCGACCCAGCCCTACACAGACCCTAGTGTGCCGGCGCCCGGCTGTCAGGCGTAAGCCTTTAAATCCGGTACCATTTCTGGATGGATACCCTGCAGAGGACGGACCCCCAACACCACTGGACCCCCAACACCGTGCCGGTGTTTTCGGGTCATGGACACAGGGGAATTCTCCCCGTACTCTCGGGAGTCCATGGGATCGTCTGCTGGATGGATCTTCCCGATGAGACAGAAGTGAGTGTGACCTCCTTGGGGAGCCGGGCGGGATGAGAACGGCTGCTCACCACCTGCTCCGGACAAGCCCGAATCACGGCGGCCTTTGGGGAAACCCCACATGAACACCGCAGGAAAATCCTTCGACAGGTTGCAAGGTCCAAAAAAGAACCTCCCAGTTGCCTCGTGTGCCAACAAAAAACACAAAAATATCACATTCCACATGTTTCAGCCCTCCCAACCTAAGATCTCCAGAAAACTCCGCCTCAGGTGGAACAAGCCACGGATGTGGGCGCGGCCAGACCCAAGCAGCCGCCTGGGGCGCCCAGAATCAATCGCCAGCGGTGGTACGTATGATCGCCAGAAAAGGACCTTTTCTGATCTTTTCTGATACGAAAGAATTTGACATATATGGTTTCCCAGTTAGATGTAGGATCCTAGTGCTGCAATAGACAGTTTCTTCTCTGAAGTTTGGTTACGAGTGGAGACCAAGACATGTTGATCTGCGAACATGTTCAGGTGTCAATTCTTCCAACTCTGCGGAGTTGGTGCCTTTTCATCCATCAAAGGCGGCCCAATCCGTTGGAATCCACCGGAGACGAGCGCAGCTTCGAGCGCCGTGGACGGGCCTGGACGTGTCCTGAGGTTCTGGCGCTGCTTCTTCGTTGAGACCTGTTGCGGCTTGCTGGGGGTGCGCTCCAATCTTGGGTGGGAGCAGGTCGGAAGCGGTCGGAGAAAGGTTAAAGTCCTTTGAAGTCCATTTGGAAGGATGAACTTTTCACAGAATCTCCTGCCCAGACGCTCCAAACAGGCCTTGGTCCCTCAAAACCATTAGGGATTTGAGGGTCCGGCTCTTGGATTTGCTCCCAGGAATCGCAGGAACCCCGGAAAACAACACAACAAAAACCACCCCAGAAGGGGACTCACTCCATCCGGGGAACCCAAAAACCACCCGAGAACCACCCGAATACCTCCCCAAAGAAAGGAACATGGATGACTTCGGTGGATGTGTTGGACCGAGTGACGAGCTCCAAGACTCAGCCTGGGAGGCGCAGCTCTCCTTGGAGTACATGCGGGGCTCCCTCTCCTCCTTCCTCGACGGAGGTGCACAGTTGGAGGGGGAGGAAGCACCACGGTGCCCGTTGCGGTGCCGTTGCAGCCGGCAGCAGCGCAGTGAGACGCAGTGATTCAACACATGAGCATCTGACAAAACTTCCGTGATGTAGTACATATGACTTTATATATTATTGGTCTGGTATAATTATGTCATATATAATGGAGACTGTACTGTTGATGAATATATACCCCATATATATATATATATATTGAAGTGGCTTTACAATCCCGAGCCTTAATCAAGAGTCTACATGGCGGGATCATGCGGGATCCACGGCTACCAGGTGGGACTCGACCGTAGTTCACCCAGCTCAGTTCCCAAGAACAGCTTGATTGACCCGAAAGCACTCACCCCCTGAGAGTTTGGTTGACCTGGTTTTGTAAAGTCCTTAGCCAAAGAATAGGTTGTTGGTTAATGACTGTTCAATCAAGGGTGGGGGAAGCCTAGGGCAATCTAGGGCTCATACGGCTCGTTTGGGAAGTGTGCTGCAGTGGAGTTTGGCCTCCTCGAGCCACATTCATTTTGTGGGTCACACCCCTTCAGAGAAAAACGAACCAAGTTGGACCCCCCCAGTCAGACGCAGGTTTGCTGAGAAGAAAACAGAAGAAAATTGTCTTTCGGTTTCGTCAGGCGCACGTGTCAAGCACATATGATTGCAACCTTGAACTTGGGAGTGCTTTACAGCACCGCAGCCCTCTTTGAGGCCCTTTCCAATCCACTTGATTGTTCTCCCTGGTTTTCTGGTTTTCGAGGGATTGTTGCTTCCCTGGATTGATTGGGTGAATCCCTCTTCTGGACAGCAACTCCAAGTAGCTCACATTCGTGGGGTTCACACCCCAGGGCTGCCGGTGTGAACCACCCACCCCAACCGTCGACTGTAGGCCAGGAGCCTCACCCAGACCATGCATGTACGGAAGGACTTTGCCTATACCCTGAGAGTCAAAGACTATCAAAAGAATGGTCTAGGTCTACTTTAGGTGACCCGAGTCTATAGGAATCTCCTGAAACCTTCAGCCGGTCAACAAAAAAAGAAGGTCGAACTGGACTTCAGTCGGCAGGGTATCTGTTGGGGCGCGCGGCCGATCGGGGTTCAACGAGCACTCCGACCAAACGCACCGCCAGGCTCCTCGGCACCGAGTTGGGTTGGCGCCCGAGATCCGAACCCCCGGGCGATTCCGGCCGGGTGCGGAGGGGGGGGGTCCAGGATGTGAATGAAGCTGGGTCATACCGAAGGAGTTTGCTGAATTCTTTAGTTTTGATAACAAATCGGGTCTAAACCGGAGGACCTAAGGGGTACTAAGGATCTAAATTAGCATGTTTTTCTTTGGACGTCCACTTCGGTTCATTCACAATGTCAGGTCGTGATATGAACAGCTTGGCAGCATCCTCAACCACATCTTCAAAGAGTATTGCAAGCCGATGCGCACGCAAGGTGCACCACCATAGTATGCTTGGAAACTTTGCCTTGTTGTCCTAAGCCCATTCTACTTGTACCATGTTTGCATCGTCAACGTTGCTAGTTTTCTGTTTCACAAAGTGATCAGACAAAGTATTCGATGAAGTAATTGAAATCAACCCAGGATCCATGTCGTGTTTGGACATTGATGTTTGCAAGCAATGAAGTTCCAATGATTGAAGATATTGAAAGCATGGGTCACAAACCAAAGTGTGACTTCAGCGCACAAGTGTGACTTCGAACGCCGATGTCAAAGTCAGAGTCTTTGATGAACCCAAGTTCTGAATCCCGATTGCCGACGCCGATTTGTCACGCCAGCTTCTTCTTCTTCTTCTTCTTAGAGCCTTTCGAATGGCTCTTCTTCGCCTTTGCCTGCTGCTGTACAGCTTGCTTAGTGAGCACAGTCTCCTTGCAAACCGTCACAGGCGCCACTGTTGCGATGTGAAGAGGATTCGACGCTGCGTCGGCAGTTACGGGTAGTTAGTTTGGGTTCCCACTCGGCCAGCAAGGAGAAGTCAGTCGGACCGGCAGCGATGTGGGAACTTGGGTTTTTTAGGCATCCGTTTGAACCACTGATGATCAAAAAATAGAGCCCTATACCTGTCTACCTTTGTCATGGATGCTTCAGGATATGAAAAACGCGGGAGACATTCGACTCACCTGTTCCGCCCAGGTCTTCCGTTGCCCCTCCATGCTGGGACTGGGCGCCTGTGCGGCGGCGGCCCGCTCGGTGGTGGCCGGGAACCCCCAGTCGGGATGGGAGGTGAAGATCACCAAACACTCCTGAGAGGCTACAACCCAGACACTCCATGTATGCCATATTTGCTATACATGGAGTGTTTGGGATATATGTACTGTTATATTACCGACATGAAGGATCAACAGATGATCGCAGATAGGACCAACTTTCGATCCACAGGGTACTGTGAAAAGTCCGACGTTTGGGCGGTTGTTCAAGCGGGGACGACCCAGTCCTCTGAATGCCCACCACCTTTGCCAGGACCTTACGCGACATGAAGCAACAGGCTGCCTACATTGATGAAATTTCAATGAACCCAACAAACAACTGACCGCGTCCACCAGAAGAAAAGAACTCACAACTACTACGCGTTGTTGTTGTTCGCACAATCACAGCTGCCCAACATAGTTGTCACATGTTGTTGTTGTTGTTGTACCTTGTTGTTGTTGTTGTTGTTGTTGTTGTTGTTGTTGCTTGTTGTTGT